GAGCAGGTTTAGCAGGTTTGACTCTGGTTGTGTGTTCAGACGGAGCTAACTGGCTGGGCTCGTTCTGTCACAGCTGGAACTGGGCAGTGTTTCAGCCGTTTTTGGGGCGTGTTTCAAATTTGTTTGGGCAGTGTTTCAGCTGTTTTTGGGGCCTGTTTCAGATGGATTTGGGCAGTATTACAGCTGTTTTTGGGGCGTGCTTCAGCCATTTTTGGGGCGTGTTTCAGATTTGTTTGGGCAGTGTTTCAGCCGTTTTTGGGGCGTTTCTCAGCTGTTTTTGGGGCGTGTTTCAGGTGTTTTGGGGCATGTTTCAGATTTGTTTGGGCAGTGTTTCAGCCGTTTTTGGGGCGTGTTTCAGCTGTTTTTGGGGCCTGTTTCAGATGTGTTTGGGCAGTGTTTCAGCCATTTTTGGGGGCGTGTTTTAGATGTTTTGGGGTGTGTTTCAGTCGTTTTTGGGGCGTGTTTCAGATTTGTTTGGGCAGTGTTACAGCCATTTTTGGGGCGTGCTTCAGCCATTTTAGGGTGGGTTTCAGATTTGTTTGGGCAGTGTTACAGCCATTTTTGGGGCGTGCTTCAGCCATTTTAGGGTGGGTTTCAGATTTGTTTGGGCAGTGTTACAGCCATTTTTGGGGCGTGCTTCAGCCATTTTAGGGTGGGTTTCAGATTTGTTTGGGCAGTGTTACAGCCATTTTTGGGGCGTGCTTCAGCCATTTTAGGGTGGGTTTCAGATTTGTTTGGGCAGTGTTACAGCCATTTTTGGGGCGTGCTTCAGCCATTTTAGGGTGGGTTTCAGATTTGTTTGGGCAGTGTTACAGCCATTTTTGGGGCGTGCTTCAGCCATTTTAGGGTGGGTTTCAGATTTGTTTGGGCAGTGTTACAGCCATTTTTGGGGCGTGCTTCAGCCATTTTAGGGTGGGTTTCAGATTTGTTTGGGCAGTGTTACAGCCATTTTTGGGGCGTGCTTCAGCCATTTTAGGGTGGGTTTCAGATTTGTTTGGGCAGTGTTACAGCCATTTTTGGGGCGTGCTTCAGCCATTTTAGGGTGGGTTTCAGATTTGTTTGGGCAGTGTTACAGCCATTTTTGGGGCGTGCTTCAGCCATTTTAGGGTGGGTTTCAGATTTGTTTGGGCAGTGTTACAGCCATTTTTGGGGCGTGCTTCAGCCATTTTAGGGTGGGTTTCAGATTTGTTTGGGCAGTGTTACAGCCATTTTTGGGGCGTGCTTCAGCCATTTTAGGGTGGGTTTCAGATTTGTTTGGGCAGTGTTACAGCCATTTTTGGGGCGTGCTTCAGCCATTTTAGGGTGGGTTTCAGATTTGTTTGGGCAGTGTTACAGCCATTTTTGGGGCGTGCTTCAGCCATTTTAGGGTGGGTTTCAGATTTGTTTGGGCAGTGTTACAGCCATTTTTGGGGCGTGCTTCAGCCATTTTAGGGTGGGTTTCAGATTTGTTTGGGCAGTGTTACAGCCATTTTTGGGGCGTGCTTCAGCCATTTTAGGGTGGGTTTCAGATTTGTTTGGGCAGTGTTACAGCCATTTTTGGGGCGTGCTTCAGCCATTTTAGGGTGGGTTTCAGATTTGTTTGGGCAGTGTTACAGCCATTTTTGGGGCGTGCTTCAGCCATTTTAGGGTGGGTTTCAGATTTGTTTGGGCAGTGTTACAGCCATTTTTGGGGCGTGCTTCAGCCATTTTAGGGTGGGTTTCAGATTTGTTTGGGCAGTGTTACAGCCATTTTTGGGGCGTGCTTCAGCCATTTTAGGGTGGGTTTCAGATTTGTTTGGGCAGTGTTACAGCCATTTTTGGGGCGTGCTTCAGCCATTTTAGGGTGGGTTTCAGATTTGTTTGGGCAGTGTTACAGCCATTTTTGGGGCGTGCTTCAGCCATTTTAGGGTGGGTTTCAGATTTGTTTGGGCAGTGTTACAGCCATTTTTGGGGCGTGCTTCAGCCATTTTAGGGTGGGTTTCAGATTTGTTTGGGCAGTGTTACAGCCATTTTTGGGGCGTGCTTCAGCCATTTTAGGGTGGGTTTCAGATTTGTTTGGGCAGTGTTACAGCCATTTTTGGGGCGTGCTTCAGCCATTTTAGGGTGGGTTTCAGATTTGTTTGGGCAGTGTTACAGCCATTTTTGGGGCGTGCTTCAGCCATTTTAGGGTGGGTTTCAGATTTGTTTGGGCAGTGTTACAGCCATTTTTGGGGCGTGCTTCAGCCATTTTAGGGTGGGTTTCAGATTTGTTTGGGCAGTGTTACAGCCATTTTTGGGGCGTGCTTCAGCCATTTTAGGGTGGGTTTCAGATTTGTTTGGGCAGTGTTACAGCCATTTTTGGGGCGTGCTTCAGCCATTTTAGGGTGGGTTTCAGATTTGTTTGGGCAGTGTTACAGCCATTTTTGGGGCGTGCTTCAGCCATTTTAGGGTGGGTTTCAGATTTGTTTGGGCAGTGTTACAGCCATTTTTGGGGCGTGCTTCAGCCATTTTAGGGTGGGTTTCAGATTTGTTTGGGCAGTGTTACAGCCATTTTTGGGGCGTGCTTCAGCCATTTTAGGGTGGGTTTCAGATTTGTTTGGGCAGTGTTACAGCCATTTTTGGGGCGTGCTTCAGCCATTTTAGGGTGGGTTTCAGATTTGTTTGGGCAGTGTTACAGCCATTTTTGGGGCGTGCTTCAGCCATTTTAGGGTGGGTTTCAGATTTGTTTGGGCAGTGTTACAGCCATTTTTGGGGCGTGCTTCAGCCATTTTAGGGTGGGTTTCAGATTTGTTTGGGCAGTGTTACAGCCATTTTTGGGGCGTGCTTCAGCCATTTTAGGGTGGGTTTCAGATTTGTTTGGGCAGTGTTACAGCCATTTTTGGGGCGTGCTTCAGCCATTTTAGGGTGGGTTTCAGATTTGTTTGGGCAGTGTTACAGCCATTTTTGGGGCGTGCTTCAGCCATTTTAGGGTGGGTTTCAGATTTGTTTGGGCAGTGTTACAGCCATTTTTGGGGCGTGCTTCAGCCATTTTAGGGTGTGTTTCAGATTTGTTTGGGCAGTGTTTCAGCTGTTTTTGGGTCTGTTTCAGATGTGTTTGGGCAGTGTTACAGCTGTTTTTGGGGCGTGCTTCAGCCATTTTTTGGGCGTGTTTCAGATTTGTTTGGGCAGTGTTTCAGCCGTTTTTGGGGCGTGCTTCAGATTTGTTTGGGCAGTGTTACAGCCGTTTTTGGGGCGTGCTTCAGCCATTTTTGGGGCATGTTTCAGATGTGTTTGGGCAGTGTTTCAGGTGTTTTTGGGGCGTGTTTCAGATGTGTTTGGGCTTTGTTTCAGCCATTTTTGGGGCGTGCTTCAGAATTATTTTGGCAGTGTATCAGACGTCTTTGGGCGTGTTTCAGATTTGTTTGGGCAGTGTTTCAGGCATTTTTGGGGCGTGTTTCAGACATTTGGGCATGTTTTGGGGCGTGTTTCAGACATTTGGGCGTGTTTTGGGGTGTGTTTCAGATATTTGGGGCGTGTTTCAGACGTTTGGGGCCTGCCCTGTGTTTGTGGCGTGTTTCAGGTGTGTTTCAGACATCTCTGGCGCATATTTCAGCCATGTTTGGGGAGTTTTTGGGCCGTGTTTCAGATGTGTTTCAGACGTGTTTGAGCCATTTTTGGGGCGTGTTTCAGATGTTTTGGGGTGTGTTTCAGATGTTTTGTGGTGTGTTTCAGATGTTTTGGGGCGTGTTTCAGTCGTTTTTGGGGCATGTTTCAGGTTTTTTGGGGCGTGTTTCAGTCGTTTTTGGGGCGTGTTTCAGATTTGTTTGGGCAGTGTTTCAGCCGTTTTTGGGGCGTGTTTCAGGTTTTTTGGGGCGTGTTTCAGATGTTTGGGCAGTGTTTCAGACTTTTTTGGGGCATGTTTCAGGTGTTTTGGGGCGTGTTTCAGTCGTTTTTGGGGCGTGTTTCAGTTTTTTTGGGGCGTGTTTCAGATTTGTTTGGGCAGTGTATCAGACGTCTTTGGGCGTGTTTCAGCCATTTTTGGGGCGTGTTACAGATGTGTTTGGGTAGTGTTTCAGGTGTTTTGGGGCGTGTTTCAGATGTGTTTGGGCAGCATTTCAGCCGTTTTTGGGGCGTGTTTCAGACATTTGGGCATGTTTTGGGGCGTTTCAGACATTTGGGCGTGTTTTGGGGTGTGTTTCAGATATTTGGGGCGTGTTTCAGACGTTTGGGGCCTGCCCTGTGTTTGTGGCGTGTTTCAGGTGTGTTTCAGACATCTCTGGCGCATATTTCAGCCATGTTTGGGGCGTTTTTGGGCCGTGTTTCAGATGTGTTTCAGACGTGTTTGAGGCATATTTCAGGTCTGTTTCAGACATGTCTGGGGCGTGTTTCAGGTGTGTTTCAGACATGTTTGGGGCGTATTTCAGGTGTGTTTCAGATATGTCTGCGGCGTATTTCAGCCATTTTTGGGCCGTGTTTGAGGTGTATTTCAGGCGACTCTGATACATGTGTGTGCTGCAGGTGTCTGTGGTGAGCGGCGCTCTGGACTGCTGGGTGTTTCTCAGCTGTCTGGAGGTCCTGCACCGGATAGAGGGCTGCTGCGACCGCAGCCAACTGGAGGCCAACACCTCCCACACCGTGGGCCTGTGGACCTACGCCACGGAGAAGGTACGGATCACACATGGCTAACGCACTCGAAGGCATGTGACAGTGGCCCGTTTGGGCTTATTTCTTCATGTGTGATTTTATTGGCAGCTGAGGTCTCTGGGTGATCTGTGTGGTCTGGTGTCCGAGAACGGCCCGAACTCTGAGGACCTGAACAAAACCGTCGACCTGCTGGCTGGTCTGGGAGCAGAGAGGCCCGAAACGGGTAATTATGATGAAATAACGCATCATTTTCCATTATCCTTATTGTATGAGGTGTTTGATACTACTCAAATTTATCAACTGTTATATACATACACACATATGTGTAATATAAATATATTTAAACACACACAAGAAGTCATAATAAATATACACAGTACACACACATATATTATATAAACAAAAACTTTTATTTTGGATGCGATTAATCATTTGACAGCACTACTATATATATATTAAAGTATAATCAAAATAAAACACTTCCTAAAAATAAATCATAAAAATGCACTTTTTAATATTCAATAATTTAAAAATAAAAACAATCAAAATAAAACACTTTAGATTAAATAGTAATAGTAAAAATATAAAATTAAAATAGATAACTTATTTTTTATTATTTTAATTATTTATTATTTTGATTTACTATTAAACTTGCAGAATGTTTTACTGGTACAAAGACCTTATGTGCCAAAAGGTCAAGGCAAATTTGATTTCTCATGTCATGACCCCTTTAAAATAAAAAAAACAAAATGCTTGCTAAAAATGTAAGCACAAAAATGTAAAATAAATTAAGTAAAAATAAATCATTTAACATTTACTAATAATTAAATAATAAAAATGTAAAAGAAAAATAAAGATTTTTAAATAAAAGCAGTCAGAATAAT